AAAATTTTTTCACTTGTTGTAGAAAATAGGAGAGCATGTTGTGCCTTTACCACTCCCCTTTTGTTAAATCATAATCCCAGAAGGAATCTATATATGGTATTGCTTTTGTCCTGGTAGATTACTATTATTTTGGACATGCACTCCATTGACATATGCTCTAGCCTTCCCTTAATACCCTCACTCTTGTAGAAGGTTTAAGATTCTTGAAAGATCAAATTAATGTCTTTTCAACTTAAGTCAAAAGTTAAAGTTATCTTTCTCAATTCTTGAATCAATTTGCTAATGTCATCGGTAAGCAAATCAATTTATCTTTAATGATCATTAAATCATACATAGTGTATAGGGCTTGGACCCTGAATATTTTGTCTATCCCTGAGATTTCTTATAAAGGAAAAAGTTAAGGCTCCCCGAACTTGGAAAGTGGTTTAGGATCCCCCTAACTGGAAACATTGCTCTCCCTGAATCCTTTGGGTTTTGAATAGGAAGTGTTCGTTCTGGGGTTGAAGGAACACTTGGCACCTTGGATTCGATGTATGGAGACTGGGAACCCACTTAGATACTCCGATTTTAGCCTATTTGTTCCCAGGACCAATAAGAAGGCAATGTCAATCTTAATTTTTTGGTACAATTCAAGTACATTTTGTAGTTCCATGAAGGTCTGCATATTAGAGTCCTCTGTCCATTTCCCTTGCTTTTTGTGGTATCATAATTTAGAGTACCATTTCAGGCCAAATTATTGCACATTCTAACGTATACTGAAATCATGCAGTATTACAAAAGAATATCAATCTTTTTTTTTTAAGTCGGTGGGTCAAACTTACCCCAGTTCTCAAGGATGCATCCCAGAGATTTGTCAATAGGTATTGAATTTTGGCTTCCCATCAAGAGTAGAGGAGATTATTGGAGAGATTGGGTGTCCATTGCTCCTGTGCTCATGTTACATCCTGTTCACCTCAAAAAACTTGGATTTCCAGAATTAACTAATCTTACTTTATGACCTGTAACCTGAGTTTCTAGAATTAAGTAGCCTTACCCACCTCACCCTTTCTCAGGTGAGACCTTAACCTCTTTACTCCTGGGGGACTCTTTCTTTATGTGCCTCTAGTATCTTTGTGTCTCTATCCCAAAGGAACCCTGTGACCATCTGAGTGTGATGTCCTAAGCAGCCTGAGCTATAGTCCGTAGCTTTTATCAGTGTCTCTTCCAATGTTAACAGGCCTAAAGAATAGAACTCTGCATTGTCCTGGAGATAATAACTTAAATATATAATGAGTTCCTGAGAATCCCTTCTTCACCTCCAGCCCTGCCACCTGACAAACACAATACATTGTTCTCTTGCATTTCCTACAGGGATGCAAATGCAAATACTGCTCCCAGGAGTAGAGAGGTGTTATAGGAACTGGAAGTTGTGACCCAAACAGAATCTTTCCCCCAGCAATTTGCAGAGACAGAACTAGTGATATTGTATCATGAGTCTGTGTTATGCTTGTGGGTAGGACTACCAGAGAACGTCACTTTACTGTCTGTCTCTCACACTTTCATGTGAAAACAGCTTCTTTCTGGGCATCTAGGGCAACCAGAAGGACCAAAAAAAACCCCAAAACACTCAATTAACCAAACCTTATTTAGCGCCACCTGCCAAAATCAGTTGGTTAAGTCATAATGTCTTCCAGTGAGTCCCCTGTTCATTGTAGGGCTGACCACTAACCCCCTGGGAAATGTCCAGATAGCTGAGCCAGAGGGAAGTAATGCCTCTTTAGTATCAAGAGTCCAAGCAAGCCTGGACACTCATATAGGTATACCTTTTGTCTCATAATGTACCTCTGCTTCCAAAATTCTCACCATTTTACCTCTTAAAGGCTTGAAAGGAAAACAGGAAGAGGATAAGAGAAGAGGAGAAAATCAGAGAGTAGAGATGTTCCTGAGGGAACTCAGAACTTACTATAAACCATTGATGGGTGCAACTGCTCCGCTGAGTCGCAGAACCAAATTTACCAGAGGGTGCTGCATGCTTCTGCCCCTTATTTCTCAGTTCTTGTCATGAACATAAGAAGTAATTCAGAAAAGAAACAGGAGAAAGTTCCTAATGCAACAGGTGAGTTTATTAAGAAGTTGAATCATTATGGATTGTGCATATGGTTACCCTAACCTGAGGGCATGCTGCTGGGTGGAAAGTTAAGATTGTATTCTATTGATGGCAAGCCATTTGTTATCAACTGGCTGTTCAATGAATGTTACATTACTGGCTGTCTTTCCGAAGTGTACCTCCCTTTTACAGATAATGCTCATGTACCCCACACTGTGTTCGGGTGTTCTTGCCAAGACCCTGGCAGGATTCTTCTGCTATTCCAAGGGTCAATTGATTCATAAGTAGGGAATTGACATACACCTTGCCTATTACAGCTCATTTCCCTTCTCTGCCCTCTACCTCACTTTGTGCTTCAAATGTATTGATATAGACATTTGTCTTCACCTAGGGTCCTGGTAAGAATACCAGAACACAGTATTGGGTTCATGAACATTATCTGTAAAGGGGAGGTACCCACCAATCATAAGACTTTCACTGATAGTTTTGGGGGGGAAAATATAAGTACCCAATTTATATTTTAATTTATTACTGATACGATGTGTTCAAGAACTATTGTACAACATTCCTTTGGGGTTTGAGTCCATATTTACTATTTGTATTGGTCATTAGTAAGTAAAGCCTACAGAAATAGAAAAAATAGAAAATTTTAGAAAGGAAGGGAATATAAAGACGGAAAGACACCTGGCATTTGTTTCGCTGACATGAGAAAGAATCATGTAAGGAATCTCAATTTTGCTCCAAACAAGAACCTGAGCAAGAAAAGTGTGAAGTGACCATGGCACATACAAGAGGGTGTCTCCTAACATTTTCTTAGGGACCCAGATGAGGTGTGGGAAGTGTTTTCTAGGAGATCTATAACAGTGAAAAAGACCGCCATCAACTCTGCTCTGACTCACAGCCACCGCATGTGCCTCAAGGTTAAACTGTCTATATGGTGTCCGTGCATGCTCATTAGCCTGCCTTTTTATTGATGGAGTGAGTGGATTTGAACTTCACTTCAATTACCATCCAAATGTGCTAATTCTTCACACCATTCAAGCATTTGTTTCCAATCTTTCTGCTCTTTGAAGCCATTCTTGATTTCTTCCAATGAAATATTTGTGCACTGATGCTGGGCTTTCTTCCTTAGAGAAACTAGTAAGTTTCTTGCAAGCAGTTTTTCACAAAAACAGAGGACACCATATCTGTAAGATGTTAAGGCCGTAGGACAATCACTTCAATAAAGATTTAATAAGCACAGAACGCTTCAATCATGATGCAACTCCTCTCACAATATGAAAAAGACGTCAGTCTAGGAGTATGACATCACGTTTTACAGGTGGCAGGACCTTATTGGCTCGCCTCAGTCCCTATCCTGCTTTTCTACTGGCCATCATCCTTGTATCCTGATTGGTCATAAGCTCAGGAACCTGATTGATCTTTGTTTCAGCTCAACACTTGGTGTTGTAATCCACAACTTGTGCCCCTTGTAATCATGAAAGGTGATGTTGGGATGAGTCCTCCAGATTTCTGTTGAAATGAAACTTCTTGGCTCTACCTGAATCTAACATCCCCCTCTGAAAAGAATGGTACTCTTAATTCATTTAGGATATTTGGCAATGACTGATCTGGCTACTTCCTTCTGAGATGGGTCACAGGACTTATTCTTTCAGAATCTCTGCTCTCCACGTGCTCTAAACCGATGAGTTGACGGATCCACCATCTGAAGTGGAATGGGATTGTATTCATTTATCACAATCATTTTTACATGGAATTGGTCAAGTTTGCAGAGAAACTTAACTAACATGTTAAAGATACCTAAGCCAAACAACAGAAGGCTATTAGTTGTTACTGGTTCAAGAAAGGGAGGCAACCAGGAAGCTCAACTCTACACTTGTGACTATGAGCTCTATGATTCTGACAAGTGTTGACAGATTTTGAAGGCCCTGTCATGAAGCTTATGGGCTGCCTATCTCACAATGCCTAATGGGTCAACATAAAAAACAGAATCCTTCTTAAAAACAAAACAAACAAAAACTTTTCATTGATTAGGCTGTATCAGTTGTGAAGGGTGAGTGCTGCTAGTGATTCTCTATGGCCCTTGTGGGCCACTTCGTTTCGTGTAATCTCATTTAGACTTTCAGACAAATACTTGAACAAAACTTTATAATAATGGAGGGCAGAGACTAGGCTCTTGATGCTAGTATTTATTCCAGAAGTGATTCTTAATGGAGAGCAAGGCGTGGGCACCACTCGGTGCAAGAGGAGCAGTATCCCATTAATTGGTCTCAAATCCTGAACTGTAAGGTCTGTCCTTAAAACTGAGAGTGTCCTGGGGAGCAGTTGTTCATCTGAAAGAAAATAGTGAGACAAAGCATGCAGGGTGCTCACTTTTCCCGACATCAGGATCAAGAGAGAGATAAAATGTATTATCCAATAGGCTTCTATAATCCGGGTCTAGTAAGCCCTCCTAAGCACATACGTAACAAGGAGCGAAGATATTAGAGTTAAGATGGCAGCTTAACCTTGGATGCCCCTGAACTGGCTGGACCTTGTATGTACGGGGGTGGGGGTTCCAGTCTCACCGGATTTGTAAGGTAGAACTGGGTCAGGGTAGTGGAGCGGGGGTTGGGTGTGGGTGGGGGGGAGCAATTTATTGGGTGTGGATGGGGTGGACAATAGAGTCTGGGGTGGATGGGGTGGACAATAGAGTCTGTTTGCTCTTAATGACAGATTGCCTCCAGGCATATAGTAAGCAGCCATGTGCTTGTAAGAAGCATCTTAGAAGTGGCATTATTACAGGGTGATATTGTGGGGATGATTTTTAGTCTGGATAATGTGATTAGGATTCATCTCCATCTCACAAATGTAAAGGCCTTCCTGCATCAGAGTTGAACTTCCAGACTCTTAATTATGAGCATTAGCCACATACATTCTCTTCCTGGTCCTCAATTTCCCACACTCCATTTTCCACTTGGCATTTGAAGTACTGCAGGTATTCAGGGTATTGCAGGGCCATGGCCTTTCTTCAATTATGTCCACTTCCCTTAGTTGGCAGATGTTTGGGTGAGACCTTGAGTTACTTGTGGTAAAAGCCTATACTAGGATATTTTGAGATCCCCTACTATGTTAGGACAGGTTTTCTAGAAAAATACGTCCGGTAACACTCATATGTGTATAAATAAAAGCTTCATATCGAGAAGTACTTATGTATCAAGAAAGCATACCAGCACAGTCCAAGTTCATAAGTCCAATGCTAGTCCATCAGTCTATGTTCAGACCCACATAGGTACATGCCATGATGCAGCATGGTGAACCAGGAAGCAAAAGATCACAGGTTGCTGTGTCATGTGGATCCAAAGTTGGTGGAAACATGACCAAATGTTTGAGAGCCAATATCTCTCAAAGTGGGCAGCAGTGTCGCAGCAAGGTGGAAGGTGAAGGGGCAGAAAGAGGGAGGTTCCCGTTGTCCCCCACCCACCACTGCAAGGTGGCATCAAGTTGTGACCTAATTGGCAGGTTGAACTGCAGCCCTACCCTTTCATACACCTTCAAGTTGACATACAATCATCTGTCACAGACCACCCCTTGTCAACTTGACACCTTTATACAATTCTCTAGCCATACATAATCTTTAATCAAAAACAATAATAAAATCATGTTTGTGCCTAATGAGATAAAACTAAAATGTGTACAACCAAAATCACATCAGCCCTATTTAAATCTTATATTCTATATGTGAATCAAACAAAAATATTCTATGCCTAACAATTGCAGTTATGTGAATACCTATACCCTAATCCTACAATCCTATGAACATCTTCCCCAACCTGTGAAAGTTTGTAAGCCAACCACTTCATGCATTTATCTCCCCCAATTTTTGATATTCAGTTTTTAAACTGCCCATTTCTATCAACTCAGTGCTTTGAGGGGAGAGACTCTGATGGTATAGTGGTACCCTGGTGGTTATGTGTTGGGTGTCCATCCACAGTTCAAAACCACCAGCAGCTCATAGGGAGAAAGACTGAGTTTCCTACTCCTGTAAATAGTAACAATCTCAGAAACCCAGAGCGAGTTTGATGGCAGTAAGAGATGTAGGAGTGCTCTGTGGAGACAAGCACAGTCTTTGATGTGAAGAATCTTTATTCCAGTTGGAACATTGTGTGTATTCATCCATTAGCAAAGTCAAATCAAGGTAAGCCATCAAATCAGCCTGAAATATATACCAGTTCGCCAAATTATCCAGTCTGGTTCTGGTCAATTCTGGGAGGGCCACCTTGCCTGTCAGGTGATTTGGGTTACAACAACTGGCCCCTTCACAAGTTCTCAACAGCCCTATCCCCGTCTAGCTGGGTGATACCTTAGACTCAGGTTCCAGACACCTCTTTAAATTTTAGACTAGCCAACCCACTCTCATCTCTCCTCTTCATCTCTAGTTCCTGTGAACCAGATCCAAGGGGATCAATGGCCAGATTCAACCTGTCTCTCCATTGCTGTTTTCCCCACTTCCAATCAGCAAATAGATCTAGGTGATCACTAGACTCTCATTAACTTGCCAGTTCCTTCATGTGCCTAGATTCTTCTGACAAAGATGTCAACCACTTGCTTAAGACTCAAAAAGCAAAAGCAGTGCTTCCCCAGCCCACCCCACCCCCATGCTCTCAACAGTTTCAGTGAAAAGTCTTTTCAAATGTAAATGTCCTCGCTCTCAAAGCACTGGGTGGTGCTTACCTTTTCCAAGCCTTCTTTGTAACCCATTCAACAGATTCAATGTAATGGCTGAAGGCTTACAAACTCTCTCTAATCATATTCCCCAGTAATCATTTCTATCACATTATATCAATTACAATGGGTAGAAGAAAACAATATGATCCTGGTACTGCCAGATCCTAAACACAATACTTTTTTTTCCCCCATCAAAACCATTTTATTGAGAGTGAGATGGTGTTTATTGTGCCAACATGGCCAATGAACATGTGGAATTAATTGAAGGGGGGAGAGAGAAATGGCTCAGGGAGCCTCACCTCACTTGTCTCTTGCTCTTTGATCATTGGACCAGTGTGACTACATTGCTTGTTCTGTGCCTCAATTTGCAAGCTACACTACCTGTGGGACACCCAATCTGTGGACTGTCACTGTAACTTGAGGTTCCTTCAAGACCTGATTTACCACACCATTGGAATGTACATCTCTTGAGCTGGGGACTGTCGGACCCTGTCATCTGGCTGACTGTTGGTGACCTGCCTTGCTGCCTGTGCCCAGATAGCCTGAATTGCTCTAAAGAGGACTACCCAGTGGCCCTCAAGACTTGGAGAACTGCCAGTGTCTCACAATTGCCTCACGGAAGTGAGTTGCACTGCTTTATTTGTAGTGCTTTATAATTTAACTAATTGTTTATTTCTTATGTTAACTATCTATCTATCTGTATATTTGTGTATATATATATATATATATATATATATATATATTTATTTATTTATTAGCGTTCTGGTTTTATTTCTCTAGAGAACCCTGTCTAACACAGACAGTTAATAGAGATACCATATAATTCCACAGTTCAGTCACATAAAGCAATATTATACAATTGCTGCCACAATCAGTTTCAAAACATTCTTTTCCTTCCTAAACTCCATGACATAAATTCCTTTTTAACCCCATACCACCACGGAACCAAACCCTATTCTACTTGCTGTACTTATATAAGTTCTTCAATCCTGGGTTTCATATACAGAAAAACATATAGCAAAAATCCAAGAGGGTGACCCCCAATGATATAACACATCTGAAATAAACCCCAAAATGAACAAATAAAAAACAAAAAAATACAGAAACTGCTGAAAACCAGATCAGGGTTAGCATGCATCAGAGAGGTAAGCAACTGACAAAGTTTTAACTGTTCAAGGTGTATTCTTTTGATCTTCCTTATTCATATCTCCAATGCACTCTATTTGGTAACCACTTTCCTGTGGGAAACTGAGAACCTAGAAGAGAGTGTAGGTAGAAACATTTTCTGTGCTCATAATTAAGAGTCTGGGAGGCAGACTCTGGTGGAGGAAGGCCTTCACATTTATGAATTGGAAAGGAATCCCAATCACATTCTCCTAACTAAAAGTTGTTCCCCACAATGTCCCTCAGCCTCCCACCCTCCTGTAATAATGCCAATCTTTAAAATATATATATAGATATATTAAAGATCATTTTATTGTGGGTTCTTACAGCTCTTATAAAAATCCATACATGAATTGTATCCAGCATAATTATACATATATTACCATCATTATTTTCTAGACATTTACTTTCTATTGAGCCTTTGGTATCAGTTCTTCTTTTTTCCCTCCCCCTGACCCCATGACCCCTTCATAAATGATAAATTATTATTATTTTCATATCTTACACTTACATATCTCCCTTACTCCATGGTTTCTGTTGTTCATTCCCCTGGAGGTTGTGTGTGGCTATGTGTCGATCATTATGATCTGTTCCCTCTTCCTCCCCTCCCACCTTCCCCCTACCTTCTGGTATTACTACTCCCATTCCTGTTCCTGGATTCTGTCATGAGCTCTTGTCTCTTATCTGTACCTGTGCACATGCTCCAGTCTAACCCGCAGAGAAAGGAAGTACTGGAGTCATGATAGTGGGGGGTTGAAGAAGCCTCAAGGAACCAGAGGAATATTGGGTGTTTCATCTGTGCTTTACTGCACCCAGGTTCACTCATCCCGTCCCTGCGACTCCTCTGTGAGGGGATGTCCCATTGTCTACAGATGGGCTTTTGGTCTCTGCTCTGATCCCCCTCATTCTAAACAGTATCTGTTTGTTTGTTTGTTTGTTTTGGGTCTTCTAATGCCTGTTACCCAGTCACAAAGATACCTCATGATAGCACAGGCTGGTGTGCTTCTCCCATGTGGGCTTGTTGCTTTTCTGCTAGATGGCCCCTTGTTTAACTTCAAGCCTTTAAGACCCCAGATACTATATCTTTTGATAGCAGAGCACCATCTGCATTCTTCACCACATTTGCTTATGCTCTATGTTAGTCAGGGTAGACTGGAGAAACAAATTCATACACACTCACATGTGTATAAGAAAGAGCTTTATATAAAAGAGAAATTATATACTGAGAAAACTTACCAGCCCAGAAAAGATCAAGTCCATAAGTCCAATATATTAGCTCATATGTCTGATACCAATCTATAAAGTCCTCTTCAGAACCATGTGACACATGCAATGACACTGAATGCAGTGTCATAATTGAGTATATACAGTATTTACATATGTATACACCCATGCATATACCTCTATCCTCTATCCAAAGCTTTGCCTCCTAGATCATCCCTGTTTCCTTTTACCTTCCTCTTGCCCCACCATTAGGCCTCTTAGCAATACCTCTCAGCTAGATTGCTGTTGATCCAACACCCCCTGATCTCTACGTCCTCCTTGTTGTTGATTGATTTTGATTTCTTACTTTTTGCCCTGTCTATGGTGTTGTTTGCTCACTGTTCCCTTCCCCCGCCTTCTTCTCCAAGTCCCTCCAGGACCATCAGTCCATTGCTTTCTCCTCAAGCTTGCTTCCCATGCCTATCTTACATAAGTAAGCAAACTAACAATAACAGAGTCCAAACAAAAAGAAAACAAAAGATTGGGGGAAAAAAGAAAGAAAGAAACCATACACAATTCCAAATCTGTCTGCTGATCTTCATGACTATCTCCCCACTGGTACTGGGGGGATTCTGGGAACTGTCCCTTCTGGCCTGAAGTCTATTTTGGGACTCTTCAGGGGCTTTGTGGCTTGACTCTGCTCTTATTGCTGATCTGTTATGTTCCTTGTTTGGTTCGCCCTGCTGAGGGGAGTTCAGACTGGACTAACTCCCCGCCATGTGTCCCCAGTATTGTCCTCTGACTTGGTATGTTCAGTGAGGGGACAACATGTCTTGACTTGTTGTCAGCCCTACTGTCCTGTCTGTGCCTTAGCAGCTTCTTAGAGAGATGTAGAACTCTGAGCTTGGTGTGCCGATATGTGGTATC